CTTTGCTTTGTTTCGCGTATCTCGAAAATTTCAGACGGTAAAATTTGTTTTAGTTGGGCATTCGGTGAAGGCGCAGAGGGTTTTCGTGTGCCCAACTGACTGTCGTTTTGCTGGTGCTGTCAAGGCTTCAGCTGCTGAGCGCAGCATTGAGTATTTAGCATTTCCACTAGCCCTATGACACCTAATATTTCTCAATAGCTTCGGGGAAAAAAAGAAAAAAAGATGGCTCACGATGCGTCCCACGTAACGTTTAAATATTTTTTTTTCTTTTGCACTGGTAGTTTGCGGCACGGTATTTTATATTTTATTTTTGATGAATCGCAGGGTAGCCAAGCTTGGGCAGCACTGACGTACAGCGTGTATAGTGTACTGTGAAGAACGTCTGATTTTGACCTGCTCTGCTGGTGTCCCTGCTCTCAACCTTCGAACTTCGAACGCGTCACGAGGTAGCCCACTCAGTGCCACAAAGAATGTCTTCACTCTGAGACAGACAGATATGTATGCACCCTATCGATATGCTGGAAGTAGCCTTGACGCCACCAGGAACATGACAGTCAGTTTAGCGCACGATGTGCCCTCCGCGCCTTCACCGAACGTCGAACTGAACACAAATTGAACCGTCTGGAACCCGAACACTTTCGGGATACACTAAACAAAGCAAAGTTATTCGTATCGAACGTTTGAACGACATAAAGAACCTGGAAAAAAAAGGAATGCCCAGGTCTTTGCCGCTGCGGCGCTGCTGCCAGCTCAAAGATGCTAGCATGGTAATAGATGCATGATACATGAGTCGTAAAGCGTAGGACCGATCTCGGCCAATGGGACAAGCAAACGATCTTCGCACCTCCCTTTCTTGCCCACCAGAAGAAACCTAAACTCCGAAAGCACGCTCGCTATGTCGGATGAGTTGGTGGCTAGGCAAATTCGAGGTACACTGCTACTCTCAAGAAATGAAGTCACCGAAGCGACGTGAAGCCTGAGCGCCTCTCGTGCAGTCTATGTGCTCGGAAACGCGCCGCTCCCGTAATCTGCTCGTGACCGTTATCGTGATTATCATCATCACAAATTATTAAACCTTACTTAAACCTGAATTATTAAATCAAAGGAGGTCACACCGTTGTATTGTTTTGAATAAACCCAAGCGTAATCTCTCCTGACCCTTTTTGATGGACTATGATTACTAACATCAAATAGTACTAACGCTAAGTCATTAAATTTATTAATATTTATAAATCAGGCGCACTACCTGAAGCATTAATTTATCGATAAACTGTGCAAGCAGTTCGGCTTTTTGAGCTAAAAATACACTGGCAATGCCGATGATAGAGGCGTCAGCACCGCCCTCGACGATTTCCTCAACTTTAAGAGTCATCAGTTTTTCGGCCTCCCACCAGGGGTCGCAACAAAACATCATAATAATTTTTCCCTGTTTTAGGGCGCAGCTCTTAGGCGCCCATTTCCGGCTTGAGTAACTTCGCCGTCACCGCCGGCGCCGGCGTAACCGCGCGTTGCATTATAGGTCATTTCCCATAATGACGTCACGTGTGACGTCACGAGGGTTACGAGTGACGTCACGACGGTCACGAGTGACGTCATGTGTAACGTCAGGGGGATGACGTCACATGTGCCGTCACCCTTGTGATATCATACGGCGGCTAAATTTAGCAGAAAATTCCCAGCTAAATTTAGCGGAAAAATTTTCCCGCTAAAATTAGCAGAAGAATTTCCCCGCTAAATTTAGCGAAAAAATTTCCCCACTAAATCTACCGGAAAAATTTCTCTGGGAGGTCACGTGACCTGGGAGATCATGTGAACCCCCCCCCCCCCCCCCCCCCCCCCCGAGAACACTCGACCCTCATTACCCTTCCCTCCTCCTCCTCAAGAGCTGCGCTCTAATGCGGCGTTACAGGGAGTTGTAAACGGCTTTAATTTTTTCCCCTTTTTTTTCGTTATTTGTTTGCCAGAATAACTTATTTTTTTATTGCTTCAATTATACGTAGAACGAAAACAACTTATAAAGAAGGAGTACAGGTGAACTGTTGGACTCTCACCAGGATGTAAGCAAATCCCTCACTGGGGCATGGTAAAATAAAGTTTCAGAAGTGGAATGAACAGAAAAAAGTGAAACAGTCTCAGGTGAAACCTGACGCGGTTTGTTGTTGCTAAAAAATGACAAAAGAAAAGTAAAAACTCTGCCTTTCCCCAGGTGAGGCTCGAACTCACAACCCCGGCATAGCTCACAAGCACTGACTTATAAGTACCGTGCGCTAACCAATTGCGCCACTGGGGAGGTCTGCGACGGCGGGGCTTTATATCGGAGAGTTCCAGCTGCGAACAAATTAGCGCCATGACGCCATTCGATTTTTTTTTTTTTTTGTTGTTTCTTTGAGTGAAAAGGCAGCTGCGGCTGCTCAGCTCTAGCTGAGCAAAGGGCACGTTTCTTTTCCCCCGGCTCTTCATGTCGTTGACGCATTCTACGATGAACTTCGCTTTGTTCACAGCTTTCTCGACGAACATTTTCGAATTCCAGGCGCTTCGATTCGGTTTCTTTTTTCTAGGTACCTCAGAGAATCTTCGTTAAACAGAAAATCTACGAACAACAAAAAAATAAAAACTCAAATACCCGAATATAATTTGGATATTAATAGCCTATATTTTTCTTGATGGTGTAGTCATAAATACCTTTATTTTCCATTCTGGTACATGAATGACGGAAGCAAAGAAGAAAAAGAAGCAGTATATCTTGACGGAGCACCTTGCTCCCTTGTAGTTTCATATAACATCGACTGCAATAAATTATACGCAGTAACAGCATACTCAACATAGTGCACAATTCAAAATAAACCGCTTTTTGCTAATTCATTTACTTATTTCTGTTTAAATCATCGCGCAAATCTTCCATTGTGATTAGAATTAAAGAAAGTCGATGGTATTGTTTAGGTGAGCCCTCAGTGTAGTATAGGGCATGTGTATTGTAGTGATTGCATATCATAATTATTTAGACAAAGTGACGCAGTCCACAGTTCCGCCGAACGAGTTGGATAGAAAATATATGCTGTCTCACAACAGCAAGATTCACTATTTTTTGTTTCTAATTAAAAACGGACCATCAATCTGTATACCTGTACGATCTAATGAGTGGTTAAAACGGATGCGTAAAGCTAACCAGAAACTTTTTTTAAATGTTTTATCTTAATAGGAGCCGGTAAATAATTAGTGGCAAAATGTACGCTGCTGATGTTTTCGTACATAAAATCGTAGACACGTTGCTAATGCAATTACTACGAAAAGTCCACATCAAGGCGTGTTTTACTATGTTCACGCTTTTTGATTCGAGATTGACCCTTCAAGGTAATATCGGCTAGTGAAACTATGTTCTTGGTTACGAACCGATGTTTTTGGTTTCCTCTTCACGTTGCGAGGCGTATGACCTGTTCGGGGCTCGTAAATGAACATGTCAATGATGTGATTCGCGTTTGTTACTCATTTTGTGCCCTAAATATGTCGGCATTTTTTTTCTCCTATCTTATGATTAAACTTAACTCATGTCTACACTAACGTGAGAGTAACAGAATTGCTCCATCAGAAGAGCCAATCAGAACCTCGAAGATCGAAGGTGAACGAAATTGGACGAAAACTCAACCGAGATGGGCGAACTTTTCGCCCTGTAAGGTTTCATGTCCGTTCAACTTTTATGCCCCGCGACATCAGTTCGGGGAGCTTATGTTGGGTGAGCACACCATCCATGAGTTTACCTCCGGTGAATTTAAGTTTAATGAGCATACTTGCGGTGAACGCACTTCCGGTGAGCGTGTGTCCGGTGAGTTTTTATCCGAAAATGAGGCGAACAAACAGTCAACTGCGCTCGCTGACACGCCAAAAAAAAAAAAAACTGTTCGAGGGTTAGAGGAAGTACGACCAGCCGGTAATTATCACAAGATCAGGAAGCTTTTTAATTGTATCAATGATTGTGATGGCCAGCATCTTCGCGGGTGCTTGTCGCGTAAATGCGAGGCAGGTGGGGGGCCGTTCGTAAAGTTCACAAGCGGTCGCGGGCCGCTTTGTTTTTTTTCTTATCGTAAAACATTGCTCATAGTTAACATTGTAAACATGTTATAACTCTCCAAATCCTGCCACAAACGCGCTCCACCTTATAACAATGGGTGACGACGACAACAAAGGCATGTCAAGTCGGACTCTCCGCCATGTCTCTCCGCCGGTCACGGGAGGTCAGCGACTGAGTTGAAACAACCGCAAAAAGAGATCGGCAAAAATCCTAAGTTCCATAGAAATCATTATTCATTCCACATCTAAACGTACAATAGATATATATGAAATTGTGGCTCTTGCGTCCCGATCGACTAAGACCGGATTGGAAGCTCACCTTCCGATGGACTGCCTTCGAAGCTGCGAGCCACCAGGCCCGATCAGGAGCCAGTTAGAAAACACGCGACATGTACAGCTCTGGCGTGCGCATCAGAGTGGTAAGAAGCACGCACTAATACCCGCGTCGGGGTCATCTCCCACGAGGTTTCGAATTGGCTCCTGGTTGGACCAGCCAGCCCGTAGCTTTGCCCCTATGTATACCGCTCGATGGGGGATAATCAACCTTTTGCGTCTTTCGCACTATCGCACAGCACACGCATGGAGTATTTCGTGACGCCTTATTTTTGCCCAAGTCAAACAACGATAACCAATGTGAGCACGACTGCCGCGATCATTAGTGTACATTTTTTCATAAATCTCAAAATGCCGTGTGCGAAGCCCCCAACAAACCGGGGAAATGTCCTGTACGCAGCACGTGACACATGAGTAGAGACAGTGAGGTGGGGGGAGGGGGGGGGGAGCGAATTCGCTCAAAGTCGCCCCCGGTGTCTGCTACAGCCGGTTCTGTATACAGGTTGTTCCCGGGATTCCTTTCGGCGCAGCGGGTAGCGCTGCAGGCTTAGCAAAAAACGTTCAAACCCGAAGACGCTTCTCTTTGTTCTTGCAAAAGCTGTTTAACGTAAGGGCGCGGTAAAAGCCTTGAAATTTCTAACAAGGTACGTCTGCGTGGTTTTGAACCTCGGATACTGTTTGGATTTGCTTATCCTGGAGGCGCTCAATAGGCGACCCGAATTGAAACCGTCGTTGTACTTCTTGAACAACGCCTCATCGAGGGCCCAGCCGTTCCCGGGTCTCTTGATCAGCACGCCGGCCCCTGGCCAGCCAAGTTCGTTCCCTGACGCCGGTCGGTTGCCGTACAGCGCCTTCATCGGTGGGAAGGACTTGTATGCGTAGAAGTACTCCACGTCCAGAGAAGTCACCCTCAGCGAGGCATCGGGATGTCGAGTTTGCATCAGCTCGTAGGCTACCCGGCAAAACTGGAAAAAGAGACGGAGACACCATTTCACTGAGAGTACATTCTTCTACTCTCATTTACGGTAGATGGCGCGCCTCTCCGCACAAAATCCTCCCCTAACGGCGTGGACAGAGTGTGTCTGAGGGAACACAGCCGCGTCGCGCCTGTCCCCTTAGAGATCTACTAAAAAAAAAAGTCAATAACGTTCAGCGTGGCTATTATATAGGACAGATACACCCAGCTGGCCGCCCTGTGACATGAATGAAATATCGCATTTTATACTGCTTTTCACAGTAAGTTCGAGCAAAGTCGACGCTACATTCCCGTGGAGCCAATGGAGCAGATTAAAAAGCGCATCGTCAGGGCGCTCGTCGCTTTTGTCGCCGTAATCCTGCGCTTTTTCGGTGCGTGATTTGTTTATCCGCTGATAGAAAACTCACAAAGAGCATAGAGTAATACATAATGTAACCTTACAGAGTGACCGATCCCATACGCCACAGCGGCTCACTCGACTCTCCGCGCACTTGTTGTGAAGCTGGTCTTGGATTTCTGTTTAGGCGCTTCCGTTCGCTACATGGCTGGAGACATTGATAGCTGCTATCTAAGAGAGTGGGTAACTATTACTGGTTCCGTTGCGTCACCTAGTCTACCGTTACTAACTATAATTTTTAATTTAGGTAAGAATCGACTGCTTAAATGCTCGCGTTAATTTTAAATTTCAGAGCACACTGTGCACAATAATGGCGAATTCAGGTGGCCAATCAGCGGCGAGCCCTTGCCGGTGGCACTGGCGACCAAAAACGCGCCAGAGGTGGACCACGTTACCCTCTCCACCCGAACACAGAGCGCCGGCAACTGGCGTTTTTTAGGGTGAAAGACTTACTTGTCCCAGTAAGCGAAAAGCTGGCGTACAAGGCCATAAAATAACGAATGAGTGGCACGCGCCGCTCAATCGTATGCTCAAGGACGACGCTGTGCTTGGCGTCGTCTTTGAGCCCTTGACGCCGTTCTCGACGTCTTCCTAGGGGTCGTCCTAGACGCCGTACTTGGCGTCGATCTCTAGAACTTCGTCCTCGACGTCATCCTATACGTCGTCCTAAACTTTAATACGTGTAGAAACATTACTCGAAAAGCCTTTTGCTCTCTCCTCCAAGACGTTTGTCTCAATAAAGTATATTCAATTCAATTTCTCCCGCGGAACTATAATGCTTTCGACCAGGGTTTGTAAAGTACCTTGTTACAAGTAAATGGAAATCGGTATCTAGGTAGTTTTGTTTTTCCTGAGGTGCAAACCTAGGTACTTTCATTTCTCGGTATCCGTATCTATATCTTAGGTACATTTTCCAGTAAGTTGTAACAAATTGAAGTGACTTTTTACAGGTACTTTTTTATTCACTTCGTCAAAATAGTAGAAACTATAAATCTTTAAGTATAAACACACTACCATGTGCCGTGATTAACGTAGAGTTGGGTACGACCTGGGAGGCACTGACTTGATCGAACGACGTTTTGGCGAACGAAGCCCGCCTGGTTCGCTAAAGTGTCGAGTCCTCGCCAGTGGCGAGGACTCGAAACATGGTTTTTAAACCCGACGACAAAAGGAGCGGTAGCGCGAGGAACGCGAGGAGGTGGAGCGAACATTCCATCGCCCAGGAGAAGTGTGTTTCAGCGTCTCGCCGCAGCGGGGCGTTCGTCACGTGGCTCTCTTCTCATCCGTTCTCTGCCGCTCTACCTGTTCAATTTCGGTGGCCGCTTTTCGTGGCGATCTGTCAGGCTTTGTCACTATAGAGGAGGCTATGGTAATGCATGTGCTACACACGTGGTTATGTTTGTATTGTCAAAGCGCTTAGAAGCTTGGCATTGCACGTGCTTGCACCAGCAGAGGAAGTTGGAGTATTCCAGCTCTGGGCTGTGGAAAAATCGCACCAGGAGGCGATACCCAAACCTCTCGCTGCGGGTATTCGCTGGACGCTATATTTGAGGGCGGTGTTTATAGAGCCCATGCTCCGAACGATCTCACGTAATTAGCCTGCTAAGAGCGGCAATATCGATGGTGCCGAATGCAAGTTGCCAAAGAACTGAGGACGCTCGCCGTCAGCACGTGCTCAGCAGCCGCGCACAGAGCTATGACCGTCAGTGAATACTCCCTAGAGCGTCAGCTCGCTTGACTTTGCGGAAAACAGAAACGAGCTTCGCCGACGCAGTTGACGACCAAAGAGACGCTCGAAACACTCTCCACGTGGGGGTCCATATCACAAGAGCGAATGACATTTTAGCGAACGGCGACATTTGAGCGAATGGTCGTTTTAGCGAATAACGGGGGCGCGCGTTAACCCATCCGTCGCGCTGCGCTTTACGCCGCTTCGCGGCGACAGTCTGCGGCAACTCATTACAAAAATATGAACTCACTTGGCCCACCCGAAAACGCCGCTTCGCGGCGTCCGACTATTCGCTAAAGTGTCGTTCGATGAAACGTGGGCGTTCGCTAAAATGTCATTCGATCAAGTGAGTGCCTCCCCTCCACGTGGTTGCGCTTTAACCGTCTTACCTTCGCCACAAAGAAAGAACGTCGAGAACTCCACACGATGACAGCAACAGCGCGCCGCGTCCGCACCCCACTACCTTGGCTGCTGTTATGGCGGGTCGTGCGTCTCGCCAAAGCTTCAGTCGCAGTCTTAACATTTTCAAAAACGTTCAAAGCTACTATTAGAAGCATGTAAATTAAAGTAGAACTATTTACTCGTGGTAGGCATATAACGAATGTATAAATAAGTAGGCACCACTGGGTCAGCTAGCGGGTGTTGTGATAGGCCGGCATAGGGCTTTAGTGGCAACTCTTTACGTACCACGAGATTACTCCATGCAAAAACGACGATAGCCGTGACGATTCACTTTTGAAAGTGCTTGACTAGCTTTACTAGGCCGTAAAGCGGCAGTTGGGGGCGAACTTGGGTATCTCAAGTAATCAAAAAATTATGATAACGGCATTTAACGCAATTCTAACTTGGCAGCAATATTCAGATGAACGACCATGAGAGCAAAAGAAGCAATACGTAACGAACATGGTTCACTCACCCCAGAGGACAATGTGCAGACTAGAAAGTCCGACTCGGCCAGCAGAGTGATGTCGAGCATTACACCGAAGAGCGCGGAGTTGTTTCGGCTGGTGTTCCTGGTACTTGCCTGGCGGGAAGCCACCTCGTTGTTGATCACCTTGTACTGAGGATATCTGTGGCACCAGAAGAGCATGTCGCATCATGTCGCTTGCTCACGGTATTGGGGACGATATCCAACCGTCGCGCCTCTGGTGGCCAAGTTGAGAACCTAACCCGCCAGACGAAAACCACATAATTGATTTGTTTGTGTTTGCGACACAACGCGAGACGCTGCGTCACGTGACGTGACGTTACGAGGTTACGTGACTTGACGTCACATTGTACCACGTCATGTGACGTCATCGCGTCAATGTACATCTAAACTTGAATTAGTGGTGTCAATTCACTCCCCAAAACGACTGTTTAATGTCTTGTGAACAAATTTAAACGGGCTCCTTAAATACAACATTCCATGCGTCATATAGGACTTTAATTACAGTACTCTCCCTTAATTCTATAATCCTGGCTGTCAACAGATCAATATAGTTAGAAATCGAGAAAGAGGAAGAGACGAAGGCGAGCGGGATAGTGCGCAGGCGAGTTGGTGGAATTTTATCTCCATGATTTATGAAATCTGCGACATAGCGGTTTCGTATACAAAGAAGGCGTTTCAATGAAATCATTTAGCTAGGTTAGAGACGTGTTTGTCCCAATTTATTTGCTCTACAACTGTAAGAAATGTTTCCTCCTTCTGCTCCAGTTTCGGGCTAAGATCATAATTTGCAGCGATAATTTGCAGCGATAATTATACTACATTACAAGAAGTCACGACATCCGCATTTTCGTGTTGCATTTTTTTACAGCGAAGCTGTTTATGGCTAGGGTTCCGTGGATTTTTCGTGCGCGTGACCAAGAACTCCACGCTCGCACCACCGCACGCGCCGCACGTGCACGCGTTCTCCGTATAAATGATTCGAAGTAAGTAACAAAAATAAAGCGTTGACGAACGCGCGTGCAAGATGTCTTTTGTTTAGGCTTTTGCTTTAGAACAGTATTGCTGCAGACGCCAGCTCATGCGGCGCGTGGAACACCATTCCCTTCATTCTCCTTGATGCTTGGGTAATTTAGCAATAGGTCTATTTCACTTGTTTACTCGTCGTAATGCGGAGGCAGCGTATAGACCCGCTGCTCGCGGGCAGGGTCCGCGAGCGCGTCCGCGAGACGCGACCATGTTATGCCGGCAGCACCATCCAGGCGGCACTGTAACGTTCGATTTTACACGTGCCACGTTCGAATGCAAGCATCTGTCACCATCTGTAGACGCGTGATAATAAAACGTCTAAAAAAAAACTAAAATAAAAAAAAAAAAATAATGCAGCTCGTGGCCTCAATGTCCCACTCAGCTTTATAATTTTATTGCGTTCTTTCATAGCTTCCGTGAGCCCGTATGTTTCACTTTACGTGATAGCGAAGCTGCATTTACTTGCAAAAACATGTTCCCCTGAACAATCCTCGCACTGCACGAGCGCGCGTGGTTGCAAGGGACACTGCAAGCTCGGAGCTCGCTCTTCTAGCCTCTGCTACCCTGACGCCCGTTCGAAACGCGAGCCAAATATTCCATTTGACTCGCCTGGAGCGCTGCTCAAAACTTGAGAGCTACGGGCCTATAGACCCGTTGCACTCGGGCAGGGGGCGCGAGCGCGTCCTCGAGACGCGACCATGCTATGCCGGCAGCACCATCCAGGCGGCGCTGTAACGTTCGATTTTGCATGTGCCACGTTCGAATGCAAGCATCTGTCACCATCTGTAGACGCGTGATAATAAAACGTCTAAGAAAGAAACTAAAATAAAAAAAAAAATAATCATCTCGCGGCCTCAGTGCACGTCCCACTCAGCTTTATAATTTTATTGCGTTCTTTTATAGCTTCCGTGCGCCCGTATGTTTCACTTTACGTGATAGCGAAGCTGAAGCTACTTGCAAAAACATGTTCCCCTGAACGATGCTCGCACTGCACGAGCGCGCGGGCTTGGAAGGGACACCGCAAGCTCGGAGCTCGCTCTTGTAGCCTCTGCTAACCTGACACGTAGAATGGAACTGAGTATAAAAAAAACTGCAGTCGGAAAGCGTGACGACGCCCGTTCGAAACGCGAGCCAAATATTCTATTTTACTCGCCTGGAGCGCTGCTCAAAACTTGAGAGCTACGGGCCTATAGTCCAGGCTCCCGAAAAGCAAGGCGTCTACGAAGAGCAACGGCGGGAACGGCACCGAGAATGTCAGCGCCAGCGGCGGGCGGCAAACACCACCGATGAAGATCCTGCCAGACAAGACGACGAACATCGGGAAAAGAGAACGCATAAAAAAAAAGAAAATTCTGTGTCATGGTTCCAGCTTCGTGGTCATCCACCCTCAAAGAGTGGAATGGCTCCTTTTTTTTATTTTTTTTCTTATTCCTAATTATCAATGATAAAAATAATCTCGCAAGGTAATACACGCCGTTAAACAATATTTCTATCTCAAGAACGGTTTATAGCTAGCATTTTATCCAATAAAACAAGTTTTGATTATCGAACGTCTTTACGATGGTTCGTCCACGCTGGAAGTCGTTTTTTTTTTTTCGCCGTATCATGGACGAGGCGCTCGATCGCCGTCTGCACAATAAAATATGTTTCTATAAACTGACTTTTAGCTCGTGAAATGCATTTTTGTTTACTAAAATGTGATTCTATACTATAGAAAATACACGCGCGATTCCCTTGCTTCCATACCGTTCCGCGGCGTCCGTCGGCCAACGTCCGTGACGTCACCGGAGGGGCACTACGGCCTTGTCGTCTAGGCGGTGTTGGCGAAACGCGCGCTTCGACGCAGGAGTCTACCAAATCCACCTGGAACCGGACCTCGTCGGCCTTCCTGCCGTGGCGACGGCGGTAGCGAGGTCGGAAACCACGGCAGAACAGATGGACCAGCAACAGACACACCAGAGGCAGGTGGCCTGTGACGCCAAGTCTGACGAACACCGACAACAAAGAAAAGCAGACGAGGCGAAGAGCAAAGCCGTCCTGTTTTTTCTTGTGGATGTCAAAACAGAAGACGAACTGCTGGACTCCAACTTCCACTCCAGAACGCGCGAAAAGTTGCTTCGCGCGTTCTGAAATATCCTAGCTGGTTGGACATCCTTTTATAGAATACGGCATGCTGGCGTCCGGCGTTCCCAGCTTTAAAGGCCCGTTCACACAGCGGCGTCTGACTACGTTAAGACTGCTTGCGTCGAACTGTTGCTATGGCGACCCTTGCGACGAGCCAATGGGGAGGCGCTGAGCTGCTCGACACAACGCAGTGCAACGCTGTCGACGCACTTGTGTGAAGGAGCCTTAACGAGTTCGACGAGGGCCGTGGAGACAAAGGCCTTTTAGTCTACCCACTGATCGTTCCAACCAGAGCTCGGTATTCTGCCGACCCCGCACGCTCTTGTCTCCTCCTCTTCCTTCCTTTCTGCCTGCACAGAGATCGTGAGCTGACTTACTTTTCCCGGATCTCGTCGACGACACGGAGATCGTCCGTCGCCACAAACACCCTCTTCTTTTCGACGTGTGTTGTAAGGGAAAGCTTGGCGTAGTAATCTTCCACGTGGACCATGTACTCTTGGACATCGTGACGGGCTGCCTCAATGTACTTGTCCCTCCTCCTAATATGCACTCTGTGGAAATATCTAGAATCAGATAGCTCTTTATGTAAAATAGGAGAGCAGCGCCCATTCTAGACGTGTGCAAACACCAAATGGATCACGAGGCCGCAGTCCTGAATTTTATACGTCGACTATTGAATCATTAGCTCGGGGCATGTATTGGACAGGCTACGCGAGCGTACGGCTAAAACTAGGTTTCAATCGGTCAGGACACGAGTCCATGCCGAACACTGACACAGTGCTCGTATTCAATATGTGGTGTGCGCTGGTTGTCAGTGACCAATACGAGTTTCGTTTCGGCCTGCTTCCAAACGCAGCCGACACTACGATGTAACGGGTCCAATAAATGAGGCTTCAAAAGTGCAAGACACCAGGCCTTTTCTGTTTATGATTGGTTCAGCGATGAAAGAACACGTCTACAGAAGCGTGACGAACACAGCTCGTGGCGTCAACTGCGCCTGGACTATGGTTAGACAAAGTATATAAAATTGTGCCGTAGGACGTTTCTGCGGTGTTGCTGGAGTAATCAATCAGGAAATAACACCACCAACAAATCCTGTTCCTTTTTGATGGGATAAAGCCTGACACGTAAAGGTTCATACGCCTCCCGAAGCTTTGAACAAACTGTGGCGCCCTCATTGTATGTACAAGGTGACCTGATTGGGCTTCGCTCAACTTTTGACGCCTTCACTGAATGTTTTTCTTTCTGTGTAGTGCTGAAGGACGGAAAAAAGCCTTTTCTTTCGCCGTCCGAAATCGGCTACATTCATCGCCGAAAGACAATCAAAAGTGTCAGATTCATGGCACCACAGTTATGGTATGCGCCTCTCTTATCCCTGGGTGGTGCCGTCAAAACATCAAACATTCCGACGCTTTTTTTTTTGTATTTTTATTTTTTATTTCTAACATTTTATCACATGAAACGGCGTCTCTTCAGCTCACGCTCTTAGCTTTGACGCGTTTTTCGACGGTACTCGAATTTCTGTTGTTTCTCTGCATTTTCCTCGTGATCGCGTTCCGCAGCAGAGCAGGCACGCTTCTGCGTGTGTGAGACGCTCAACACTGAACTGCCCAAAACTCTTAACAAGTTCCTTTTCGCAACGCCCCCTGGGCAACGCTGGAGCCCTCTATCGCAGTGAAGCAAAAGCGACACCGCGTGTCTCAAATGAATCTTTCCTCGATCTTTGGCTTGTTTCTATAATTTCTGATCCCGTATTATCTCAAAAGACATGACAACCGATGCCTGAGCAATCTTCCGCCCAGAAGCTGCGTGATCGTCGTTGGTCATGTCAACCCTCCGTCTTGAACCACTCTCTGCGCATATACTCACGCGTGACAGTGACAGGCGATGTAAAAGTGAGGCCAAACAGTGGGTCCGGCTAGCACGTAGCCTCCCCAGCCCTTATCGCTTAGCAGCGAACGGAGTTTATACATGTACGGATTCCGTGTCTTAGGTTTTTACAAATATATCGCGAGAATTATTCCCCTAGTCGGTTTTGTCGGTCAAGTCAAAATTTGTTAACATAAGGTTATTTAATTACACTCATTCAGACGAGCTCCCAAATTATTCAAAGGAAACTGTCGAAGGGACCCCCTTGGTAGTAAAGGGTTTGTCAGCGATCAAGTTGGCATCACTATGTATAAAGAAAACAAAAAAAAACTTGAAGACAAATTAAAAAAAGAACGAAACATGATTGCGGTATGTACATAAGCAAAATATAAAACCAAGTGAAAAGAGAGAGAAGAAAAGCCAGAAAGTCAAGGGAAAAGGAAATAATACAAATGCTGTGTGTGTGATTGTGGAATTGTGTGAATGGTGTGCGTGGAGAGAAGAAGGAATCGGGGGGGGGGGGGGGGGGCGGATAGAAATGATTGATGAATCATGCAGATAGGATGTGTGCATGTATAGCTTGTTTAAAGATACAGAATGATGGCATGGCAGTTAGGCTGTGTGGTAGGGAGTTTCGCGTTTTAGTAGCAATGTGAACGAAGGTGAACGCGCCGCAATTAGTTCGTATGTATGATGCAGAATGTGCAGACAGTGACGCTTCGGAATGTGAACGCACAGGATTCATGACATCTTGATGAGTAAAACTAATTGAAGAGCATGTTATCTGATTGGTGATGAACTTAAATCTCAACAATGCTGTACGATAATCAAGGCATTACTGAACTGTTAAAATGTTGAGGAGGCTGTATACAAATTGAGCACTTTCGTGCGATTTCTATGGGTTTTAGTGTTGTTTTATATGTCAATCAATAAATGCATAAACCGTACGTAATGTGAGTGTAAATAAAGCTATGATTAAGCATTTGGAGGGTTCGTAAGAAAAATATGTGCCTTAGTTTATTTAGAATTGGTAAATTTCGACATATCTTGTTAGTGGTGTCTTTTACGTGTTGATGAGATGTTAATTTATGATCATGTGTTAGTCCTAAAAATTTAGTATGGTAAACTCGGGTTAGGTTCATACTTCCAAACGAAAGCTAAGTTGTGTTTAATTTTTTTTTTTTTTTAGCAAAAATTATGTAGTTTGTTTTCGTTATATTAGGAACCATTTGTTGTAAGTTAGCCAGTTAGCTAGCTTTTCTTAAGTGTTATTAGCTTCCATGTATAGTTCTGCCACACTTGCATGAGATATAAAAATATTTGTATCGTCGGCATAAAGAACACAATCGTTTTGTAAATAGGCTGCCAGGTCATTAATATATATTAAAAAAAGAAAGGGACCTAATATTGAGCCTTGCAGAACACCGATGGTAATAGGTTTAGTTGTTGAAATTGTGTCACCTAAAGTGACAAATTGATATCTGCTAGAAAGATAACTTTCGATTAGATTAAGAGTAAAAACACGAACCAATTAAGCACTTAATTTATGTAGTAAAATTTCATGGTTAATGAGGCCAAACGGTTTTTTCTAGGTCTAAAAAGATTTCCATTGTATCTAACTTCATTTCAATGTTTTGCTTTGTTTTCTCTGCCATATTTAATAACGCAAGTTCTGTTGATTTTCATTTAAGAAATCCATATTGTGAAGGAGTGATCAAATTATTTTCAGAGAAGAACAAGTTTAGTCGCTTTAGTAGTCGTTTTTCGATCACTTTGTAATAACAGGAAGTAAGGCCATCGGTCGATAGTTTTATGGCTTTAGTTTGTCCCAGTATTTAAAAATATTGGAATAACTTTCGCTATTTTGAATGAGCCCGAATAAGAGCTAGTCGTGAAAATTTTGTTGATAATATCAGCGAAAGGCTGAGCGATGATGGAACCACATTTTTAGTATTATCGTCTGTATTCTGTCTCACCCCGACGACGAAGCCGTTTTTAGGGTGTTAAGGGTTTTATAAACTTTTTCTGGATCGACAGGGTAAAGACAAAAAAGTCGTGTCATTACGAGCTATGTTTGGCGTGCCAGTGAATAGATTTGTGAATGAAAGGTAGTCATTGAAAAGTAGTCATTCTCAAGAGGGGGGGGGGGGGGGGGGGGCGATTTAGCAGTTTCTTGTTTGTCCGTAATTATGCCTTAATCAGTGCTTAAGGCTGATACAGTTTGTTCGGTAGCACTCTATACTACCGAAACAATGTCGTTTTATGTGTGAATGTATATGTTGTATCCCACACCTACTTGGGCCTTCGATGGCTTGTAGTATCCTCTAAAAAAAAAAAAACTCTTATTTAGTGCATAATTAATTATTTTCCAGGTTTTTTTAGGATTCCTACTGGCGCTAGAAAGTTCAGTAAAAACGATACTGCTGTTTAGCTAGGTCAACCAGTTTCTTCAAACGAACATTACACGTTTTGTGTTCAGATTGAAGGCTTAGATTGAATGGATTGCGTTTTCGTTGTTTTGTTTTATATACATAATGTTTTTGTGATGGATAGATCGTTGTAGTCCGTGTGTTAGCCAGGGGATTTTACTGACTGATCTGCGGGACAGGGTTTTTCTTATCGTACCTTTTTGAATGGAAGATTTTAGTGTTGCTAAAAAGTTGTCTATATTTAAGTCTGCCGTGGGCCCTGAGTATACGTTCTCCCAAAATCAGGGAAAACCAAAAAACTTCGATTTTCATCTGCCCTTAAATAAGAACCTCAGCATAACTTCATTGTTCGGAACCGCACACCTGGTAATTTTTTCTTCGCAAGAAACCCTGATAAACTTCGATCCTGTTTGACACCGAAAAACACGAAGTAAAATCAAAATATGTTTGTTTGTTTTAGTTCCGACAAGACAAGTCAAAACATTCAATCGGTCTGTTTTCTTTTCTTTTGTTGCTGCATTTTTCTCGGATTTTAAAAAGGGTCATATATCGGCGTGCATTTATTTATCGATTTTTAATTTACACTGCTTTTCAAAGACCCTATGGTATGTATGATAATAGCATTCATCCTTACCCGACGATAGGGTGCTTGTATCCCCTGGACATCTTGAAGTCCGAGATTCTTTTTAATGTAGTGGCTTGGAGCCTGAGTATGTATCTCATCAGCTGTCCGTACCACCAGGCGTAGGGGCTTCCGTGATTAGCCACCAGGGGTTCGGCGATGGCGGATGGAAGCTCAACGATGTCCACCCTAACCCCACCCGCTGCACAAATGTTTCCATTTTTAATAAAGTGTCAGTTTTATTGTTTATACAACAATGTTTATAGCCCCCCTTTTTGTTGTCTGGAATGTTTGGAAATATTAGTGTCGGTAAATTGATCTAAATCACTGAAAATTACTAATCGCCCAATTCTAGCGATGCCAATCATTCTGGTAGATGTAAGTGGCCTTCGAAAAGGTCTCCAAACGTTTTGGCTAACAGGCCTGATTGAAGACATGACGCAGACTAGAGGGCTGGAAAGGAAATACTACAATATAAACGACGAAATGCTAGGTAAATATGCCTAAATAAGAATTTAAAAACAAAAAATTCACACTAGATCAATAATTAAAAGAAGAAATGTAAGGTGGGTGAATATGTGTAGTTCATTTTTTTAACCCAAAATATGAAGATATTGAAATTACAAAATAATTGTGACCCAGAAAACTCACTGGACATAAATGGAAGCGCATGGGAACTGTGGCATATTCACACTGGGCAGAAGGCTAACCAGAATGGTCGATCTGATGACGTAGAATGCAAAAGTTATGACGCTAAGCACGATATACAGAGAACGGAAAGGAATTGTTTCCTACGTTACGCAGACATGAAGTAGGGAACTACGAGTGTGTAATGTTGGTGATGACAATGAGCAATAAATAATATGGCGAGAGAACCCGGGTTTGCATGCGGTTTTCAAGCATGAGATGCTTTATAACGGTACCCTCAATCCCACACTTCTTTGCGTCCATCAGTTCGCTACATTTAGCGAGAAAAGTGGCGTCGCGTGACCTTCCGGAAATTCACGGCACATGACCAGTACGTCCACTCCGTTTCACCACTAAATTTAGCGGGAAAATTAATGTCGAGTGGCCAAACCATCAATTCAGTTATTCCGCTAAATTTAGCAGGGAATTGATACGTCACTATACATCAGTTCTGTTACCCACTAAATTTATCGGGAAAATCCACGTCCTGTGACGTAAACACCAAAATCCAGTTTCGCCGCTAAATTTAGCGGGGGAAATTGACGCACGTGACTTGACATCAAGTTACCTATACACCGTACAGTTTCCCCGCTAAATTTAGCGGGGAAATATAAGACACATGACACACCAGTTCTCTAACCCCCATGCCTCCTCCCTTCCCCCTACTTTTCTCTTTCCATCCTTCCAGCTCCTAGCAACCTTTCCTGATAACCTATGTCAGGGGTCTCAAACTCATTTGAGTTTGGGGGCCAGATATCCCACCCCCGAAAAGTCGAGGGTCAATTTAAGAAGGTGACTTTTATGGAGAACGGATTTTATGGTCTTGCTTCTTACATATGTAGGTTTGATTCGTTTTGAGGACTAAGTTAGGCTCTTCCTGCTGTGATAACAAGAATTAAAATGACACTGCCTCGCCATCATGCTGATATGTTTTGTATAGAACAACAGAGTACGCACACTGTATTTCGCGTTGCTCAATTCACTCGGGAATTATTCAAACTCAAATTGTTTCGAAAAACTTTCTTCATACGACAATTATTGCTTTACTGACGATTTTTATAGAACACCCTGATAAAACACTTGAATTTTTATGGTGATATTTTCTGAACAGTAGAATTCCTAGTTCATAGCTTTATCTTCAGCAGTCGCTCCTGCTTAGTGAGAGTTCATGCAACTGAGGTGAACAAAAGCTAGCGAGCAAAAACTAAAACGAAAGAAAGCGAATATGTTATAAGAGCACAGCTACGCATCGAGCAGAAATGAATCGGTGACATTAGATTATTATGGCGCTTGCTCGGCGCGTAGCGCTCCAGACACAGGGAACAAAGGCTCGTAACCGGTTACTTGCGGGCCGTGACCCAGCGAGTCACGGGCCGCGTGTTTGAACCCCTGAGCTAAGTGATGTTCCTCCCAGGGTGTCCTTCCCCATCCACCTTTCTCTCCACCTCCACCCATCTCCAATACTATATTCCTATAATGTGCTATAATCCCATAACGATTATCATCCTATCAGGTCCTATAATGCATTTTATGCGTTATAAGACTTTGAAGGTAACGTCCCTGCCAAGTTTTTTTCTCGATCTTTATTTCGCGCTTTTGGTACACGTCGCGGCGCTAATTCTTTACGCCCGCCTATTTCTGCTTTTGTAGCAACGTTCCTCCGACCCTGCACCACTGAAGAGACAGCGGCCAACCACAGGCCGGGGTTTGGACACCCCTGCCCTAAAATGATACATAACATTTAAAGAGACCACCCCCGTATGTACCAAGAGTCCCTATATTCATCGATCGCAAAAAAGAAATAAGAATTTCCCGTGACCACTTTTGTCCCGTAATCACTCTAAAAAAAAACACATTTTTGGTTTTGTTTATCCGCAAAAACACCTGTAAAGAATGGCCAGGCTGAAAGTATGTTTAAGACGCAGAAAAACTTTCTGCGAAGTGACACTGAGCATGACGCACCCGCGTGAGACATCGTTACTGGAACGCGCCTAGGACCTAGGACCGAGTCTAAAAAAAGCGGTCCTCGATTTTTGCCTGGTGACGTTGTGGAAGTGCCACGCTTCCACCGGTCACGATCCTGGCGGTACGTGTCTCAGCAGCAGCGGTGATGGATGTGGCAACGCCTGTTCTGCCGCAGGTCGCTCTCTGGTCTGACAGTCCACGGAAACTCTGGCAGTCAAGAGTTGGGACGTCGCGACGACAGCGACACCCGCGTTCGCTCGTGCTTTTAGCCGGAACTTCTACGACAACCCGCCAAGATCGCGACATCCAACAGCATGACAAACCTGCTTTTGTGACGTCGTTTGTCACCACCATAGAGTTATAGCGCAGGCTGACGTTTTCCTATAGAGTTTTCCGCTTACTCTGGTGTACTAAAAATTGTATTATTATTATTATTACTATTATTATCATTATTATTATTATTATCCGGCCACTTTGTTCACACATCCGTTATACGCAATGAATAAAAATTGACAACAACAACCTGGAACGAGCGAGAGAAAAAAAAAATAAACGAGGTAGTGATAGCTGGCAGCCGAAATAACTGGCAGCTGAAAGTGACGACCAATCGGCCGCCGCCATGTTGCAAATTTTCGACCGTAAAACGTGACGTAAAACCTTATAGTTTTACGTCTAGATTTTAACGAACTGCCGCGCACAAGTAATTGCTTATTGATTTTTGTTAATTGTACCAGCAAGATAAGTTATGTCTCGTTTGTTTCAAGTCCAAGGTCTGCACTTACCACAAAATCTCAAGCAGCTTCGCAATGCCTCCGCTAGATGCCGTCAGCAGCGGTGCTGTATCTTGGGTTTTTATCGGAGCTAGACACTGATTTCTGGAGCTAACAGTATTTAAAAGGTAGTTTATCATGTTTTTTTTTTTTTTTTTTTACGGCGATCGCACTACAAATCTTGACTCAGTTTTGCGTAAAAGCCTCATGATTTGGTACGGTCACGTGTCTAGTGGTCAAAATTGTACAACATGGCGGCAGAAAAGCGGAGGTCACTTGCCTGGTGAACGGGATACCAGCTTATCGCTCTAAGCCTCTCTACCTCGTTGAAAAAATACATAAGAGGCAAAACAATAAGGATTTGACGACCAGTGATAAAACCATGAACAGCTTCCGGTTGCGTGATGAGGGAAAATGAAGCGATGTTTTTTTTTTTCCCATACCGAATGTCTGCGACTCAGAGAAAAGGTCTATGCAACTAAACATATTTTCAGTCAAGTCATTTGCCGAACTCCGTTCGAAGATTGGCAGCAGTAGACTCTCCCCAAACGCTTAACGGGAATTTAGACGGACCAGATTTCTTTGTGTTGTAGTGTACATCACATGCCTGGTGTGAAGAAGATATGTGGATCGACTCACAGCCTTTACAAACACGCCCTAAATGCAAAAAAAAAAAAAAAACGTAAAAAGAAAACGGCGCCGATTTTTTGAGCGGGCGATTAAAATCGCTGTTGCAGAATTATATTTGTTCATACGTTTCTGGTCGCTTTAAAACAATTTTATTGACGTCAGAGACTTTGGCAATATTTGCTGGCGCCCTGTGGAACGATTCGTTACGATTGTCAGCGACCTTTAGCAGCGTGACGGGCCCTTCATAACCTGTTTAAAACGCTTGTTAATGGCTGAAAGATCGTTTCCTTTCTTCCCTTCCGGCAAAAATTAAAATTAATGCGTGCTCGTCGAGAAAGTGGGGGCCCGGAGTCTGCGAGAAGAGGCATGCATTTACTCCACCGTTGCATCTTTATACGGATAGAGCTCGAACGGAAATTATCGGATCTGTTTTAAAGAACCGCTTAATGGATTTTCGCATCGTACAAGCGAAATAGACCTATTGCTATAATACCCAAGCATCAAGGAGCATGCAGGGGTTGGTGTTCCACGCGCCACACGTGCTGGCCTCAGCAGTAGTAAATTTTCTAAAGCAGATACCTAAAACAAATGGCATCTTGCACGCGCTTTCGTCAATGCTTTATTCTCTCTATTTACTTCAAATCTTTTATACGGGGAAGGCGTGCACGTGTGGCGCGTGGTACACCAATCCCTGCATTCTCCTTGATGCTTGGGTAATATAGCAAATGGTCTAATAATCATCGATCGCAAAACGTTGGGAGTTCCTAAAGCCGGGGTCCCACTGCTCATGCATCATACAAAAGACAGTCTGCAAACACGAGTCACCGCAATATCCGCGGTTCGAATGCCGCCTGCCCAGGTTTCTCCTTGAACTCACTGCCACGCGGCATTCGAAGCACGGATCTCGCGGTGTCTCTCGTTCGAATCTGTATGCAGGCTGTGTTTTGTGTGCTGTATAAGCAGTGTGAACCCCGGCTTAAAGGTAGCCTCGG